TTTTTTGTTTGTTTGTTTTACTGTACCCATTTTGGAGGTAAGACAAGCAGGCAACAGACCTTCCTGATGGATGACCCATACAGCACTATCAGCAAGTGATTGCTTATTTGTTCTTTCTGTGCCTGGGGGATGAATAATGTAGTTGCAGTGTCTAATGAAGGAGACCCCTCTGGTGTATTGCTTTCCTCAGGCTGTAAAGCTGTGCCAGATGTCTTTGAGTGCCCCAATCAGGAATTACAGGAGGGGAAAAAAAAACACCTTGAAAGTAGGGAGTTGGAAATTACTTCCTTTTGCTGCTAAATCTGGAACAGTAAGTAGTATCTTCATGACTTCAGGTGTCACCAGGGCATGCAGGGGTTTGTGACTGAGAACATTGCTCCCTTCCCCACTTTGAACTCACAGGTTTATATTTCAGTTGTGCTGACAGTGCTTGGTGTATCCATTTCTATCAAATATGGCTGTTTTCATCAGGTGCAGTATCTGGAAGATGAGTATTGAGCTTGGTGCAGCAGGATTGGTGTCTTTAGGTCGGTTTGCACAGTCTGAACATTTTTAATAGATGTGAACTTCCAAGTTTTGCTGAAGGAGTAGTATTGTTAAGGAAGTTCTTTTGCTCCCCAGAAAAAAAAAAAAGGAAGCCTAAGTGAGACTACATTAAAAGTTGTTGAAGAATCATTTATTTACACACATGGTGGGCGTGTCAAATGGGCAGATAGTTCTATGTGCACGTAGATTGGTGAGGCATTCTTCTAGTACTGGGCTGCAAGGGCTAAACAGTTACCTTTACAGATGTCAGTTCTGCTGCTTCTGTGTGTTTTTACAGAGCAGGGAAAGGAATCAAGAACTGGGCTTTGTCTTACCAGTATACTTGGGGTTCTCCCTGATGTCACTTAAACAATCTGGAGAAAAAGACTGTTAAACATAAACATAAAGAATGTATGCAAAAGAGTAAATGAGGGTGAGAAGGAAACTGGAACATGGACATGCATACACTCTATGCAGGAGGGTGCTGAGAGGCCCATGTGGCCTCAGCTCTACCCCTTCTCATCTTGGATTTGCAATCTAATATTTTTTTTTCCCCAGTTATTAAAATAGCCTCAGAAAATAATGCTTTCATCAGTAAGTTCCATCACTGAAGAGGTTAAAGTGAAAATCCTACACAAAGGATGAAACATTAAGTCCTTGTTTGCCCAGTAATTTAATTGTTGCTCAGTCATCCTGGGTGGTATTTTTTTAACCCTGGAGTCACAGGATCACGGAATGTTAGATGTTGGAGGGGACCTCGAAAGATCATCTAGTCCAGGCCCCCAGCCAGAGTAGGACCACCTACAGCAGATCACATGAAAACCTTTCTTTGTCCTTTTCAGTTGATCCATTGCATATGACTTTTTTCATTAATTCTTTCTTGTCTCTTGAGTTCTAGCAGAATTGCTTTACATCAGCTGAACTTTTATAACTGTCCATATGTGTTTTCTTAGTCCAAGGTGAATGTGAGATGTTCGACCTTTTTCATTGCAGGACAAGTCATTTTACCTGGCCTTTGCCACAGATGTAGAACGTGCATGTGGACAGTGACGGAGACTTAGCTCAGTTGGAGCCTCCAGTTCTGCAGAGGCCAAACTGCACTGGACAGGATGAAATGTATCAGGGTGATCTGAGATGTCCTTGATAGGACTTCTGTCTCTTGAATGTCATACTGATTTCTTTGACAAACACAAACGTTTTGAATAAAATAGCAAAAATTGAACCTTCTGCCTTCCCTCCTGTACTTGCAATTACCAATTAAACACAGAGAGAACTAGAACCGCATATGGGCTGTTTTCTTTTAAAAGAAGTTTAAATTAATTTTCTGTTTCTGTGGGCAAAGTTATTTGTACTGTGCTTCTAAGTAGGTAGCTGCTAGAGGAGTAGCACTCAAGTCATCAGTGAAATCAGTTATGGGTAGTCTGGAAGAATAAAACCAAGGAGCCAAGCTAATTCCTGGATTCTTGATTTCAGATTAGTAGCATAAAGGGAAAATTTTGTCTATTTTGCTTGTAATATAACTATATTGGCTACAGATGCAAAATGCAATTTGACAGTTTGATAGATATTGTACGCTGTACTTTATGGCTTTTTGTGTGGTCTGTATGGAGTTCACAGACATTAGACAATGCATTTCTCACTTGCTGCCTGGTAGCTGGATTTCTGTTGGATACTTGGGAGAAATTTCCATGCTAATGCAAGCCATTGGATTTGGCCAGGATTTGCATCATTTATAGAAATTGCTATGCTTGGCTGTACTCCTGTTCATATAATCCTAATTACATGCTTTATGATGAAATTGTTATCAGCTATTAGATTCTTAGTCTATTCTGATCTTCCTGGAAATGTAGTAATGCCTTTTCTTTCTGACCTAAGAAGACCTCTTGTGTGATCAGCTCAGCCGTCTCCTGTAACCACCACACCCTGATCATGCTGTATTTTAGATTGTTGTACTTGTCTTTGATTTAGTGGGTCTGTGTTTTATTTTGTTTTAGATTAAATATTTAACTCTAGACAAGGATTGCCTTTCCCTGCAGCTGGGCTATGTGTGTTTGGCTTTCTCTGGGTATTTGGGTTTTTACCTGTTTTTTATGAATCCAGATCACTTCCAGCAAGTGTGTGGGCTGCACTTTTGTATGTCTTTTGTGACTTTTGGCCCTTGTGTGATACAGCTAAATGACATTGGAAGTCTGTAATAAGACTGATTTTTTTTTTTTTTTTAAAAAAAAAAAAGGTGCGCAAGCTAACATTGAATCTGTAATAGAGAGGCTCCTAGTGTCTTTCTTGGGGGACCAGCATGTGACAGACATTCATTTCCAAGCCTTAGTAACACTGTGACTTCCAGAAATCCCAGTGAGTGTGAGATGCCTGTGGTGGGGGCTGCATTTCTCTTCCTGTAGTAGTTTGCATGTTTCACTGGCCAGTGAAAGGAAGGACTATAGATGCTTCTGGTTTGATGTTACAGCCTCAAAGGATAATTTACACCCTATTGAAAATCAAGAATGCACCTGTACTTCTAGTTTGAAACCAGAAATGTTATTTTGTTTTGTTATACTTCATACATTTTTTTTTTTTTTGAAAGTGCCTTTTGCAAGATAATTGACATATAACATTACAAGGTCACTTTATACCTCTGTAGTAATCATCAGTGAACATCAAAAGTAGCTACTTTAAATGTAGGTAAGGTAAAGTGCATGTGACAAATAGAAGGTAAATCTTAGGAAACTTTGCAATGGAGGTATGTCATCTGTGGCACTTAGTATGTGTGTTTTCTGGTGCTTTGGTTGCAAAGCTTATAAAGTGCTGGGTTAGCAGAAAGCCCAGGGTGTCATTGTAGTTATAAGGTGATGTATCTCTTACTGCATTTCCTCCTCTTGGGTTTCCTGTTGGGAAGAAGGAAATGTTAGGTTGCATGGGATAAGACTGAGAGTGGCTGTAGATTTAAAAAAAAAAAAAAAATTAAAAATCTCTGTCGGTGTTTACCCAGTATGAATGTTGGTTTTGGAAGGAGGAAGGGTTAATAAAAATTGAAAGGATTTTTTTTTTTCTTGGAATGGATACCTTCCTATACACAATCCTACATGTGGAGGAGGAAAGATTGGACAGGAAATAATTTCCTGTAGGAGGAATAAAAAAGGAGGAAACTATGAGGAAAGCAGCACATGAGGAAAACACAACTGTCAGTATTTGAAAGGTGGAGAAGAGATGCACAGGTGCGTTTCTAACATCAAACACAACGGGGATGGTGGGTGTCATGAAGCCTTTGGCTGAGAACGGATAGTATGTGCCAGTATGAGGTGCACACATGTTCTGCAACTTCTGTTACCTAAGTTATGTCAAACATAATTCTCCCCTTGGCTTGGGAATTAAATCTTAATGAGATTGAAATCAGTGAGACAGTTTACACTGACCTGTCTGGTACAATCGTCTTGTCTTAGGTACATGTTTAGGCTTTCCTGTTCTGCCAGTAAGTGATGGCATGAAAAGCCTGTGATCTTCTTAGGTAAACTACTGCAGCAGAAGTTCTGGTGGTGTTTCATAAGGAAAGCAAACTCTATTTCCACTGAGCTCCTTCTAAAAGGCTATGAGAATTGTTTTTTCTTCTTGTTTCTTTTAATAGATCATTGATCATCCTGATCATTAAGCTCTGGAGGGTTTATCTTTTCCTTCTCTGTATTGGTTTTTTACTGTATGGTGGCAAGACCCAGTGGTTCTCAGTGTGAGGAGGCCCCTCAGCTTAACCCAATGCAAGAAGGGCACTACACCTTTTAATTTTTTCTTGTGTATCTCATGTGAATTCTAATAGTTTTATTGTTTTTATCAAGTATTCGATTTACAAGATCACAATGTATTCAAAGATACTGAATGCAAAATTATGAGTGATAAATTTGTTTCTTTAGCTGTTCCCTGGTTTTGGTCTAAGTTGTGACTTTGAAGATTCCTATTGAACAAAATCACCTGAACTTGAAGCATTTTTGCCACCATGAGTGACTTTCTTTTGAAGAAGGGCTTCTTGATTATGAAGCTGTGGGTTGGAACAGACAAGAAATCAAGAAAAATTTCAAAGCTCTACCACATCAGGACCTAGGAGAAATGTTTGTCTTACAGATTACTGGCAAAATTATTGCTGCTGCAAGCAGGAAAGCTTTGTATATCACTGCATGCATGGTTTCAGTGCTTTGTTTGTATGACTACAGAGATCTTGGTTAATTCTAGTGATTTCTAGACTAACAATTACCCACACATTTCCTTGCTTTAGTATTTCCTGGAGATTCAGAAAAGTTAATTTGGGAATACTGTGAAGTAGCAATAATCTGTGAAAACAGCTGCTGGTGACTGGAAATATATAGCTATTTTCGGTTAGAAATAATTATTGCCCTTTCCATAAGGACTTGGAAATTTTTGATTTTGGTGCCTTTTGCAGAGGAGAAACTTGCAGTTTTTATGATATTGTGTCCATTGCTTTTGTTTTCCAGAATATGACAAACTGGGCTTTCTCCTGAACCTGGACTCAAAATTGTAAGTAGAACACTAGGACTCTTCTTTGTTTCTGTAGTTACAGATTTTTGTGGCAGGCAACTTTTATGTCACCTGGGCAGTTGGCTCACTGGACTATACAATTCTACCTGGGACAGCCAAGTCCTGCAGCAACTTGGCAATTACGACTTCTTTCCTTACACTAGGCTTTGCTGTCTAGCTTGGATTGTGGTTCACTAACTTCTTAATGACTGATCAAGAGGCTATAAATGTCCACCTGAAGCCATGACTGTCAGTCTACTCTAGATATCCTACAATTAATCTTCCAAATGACGAAAAATATATTAAACAGTTGAAAGCAGGAGGAATGCCAATCTGCGATGCTTAGAAGTTTATATTTCCTTACTACTTATTTCTTTAAAAATGGATACTATTATTTTTGTTTGTAAACTGGAGTGGAAAGAATCTCTACACAAGGCAGTGACCACTTGCTATGTCAGAAGAACAACAAAGTGCTGAAGGATGTTACTTACGCTTTTTGCCATAAATCAGTCAAATTGAGACTGAACTTCTTAACACTAGGGGTCACTAGCGACTCTGTTTCTGAGGTCAACAGCCTTGTGGAAATTTTGGTATAGGGAGCAAAAAGGCTACTAAAAACCTGCCTTTACTACTTAAAAAAGCACTGAAGCAATATAGTGGCTTTGAATGACTGCAGGATGCATCCCCTGTACAATATATCATGTTAATATAAAAACCATTCTTAATGTTTAGAAAGTTTCATTGTACTTATAGGGTGTAACATTGAAGTTTTTTGAGTTTAGCCTTGCCGAGCAGCTTAGAAGCTTCCATAATGAAATAAAACGCTTGTGTATGTTGGGAACTGCTGTTTGCAGGAAATGAGAAAGAATTTGGGTAGGAGCTTGTTTTACAGAAGCAGCTGGGTATGTAAACACAATTATGGTAATTTATCTGTCAACAAAGGTGCTGTAGAAGAACGTGTACGAGAAAAGGAATATCGATTTCCCCCTCCCCCCACCGCTTTGTATCTCATTCGGTGTGCAAGGAGGGTGGTGTTTACTGTATGAATAGCTGGCCAAGGTTTCTTTCTAGTCTCGTTTAATGTACCGTTCTGTGCAGTTTTTGTTGCGTGGTGTCTGGAACCCATGCTGGTTACACGGTTAGCAATTTATCAAATTTTCTGTATTGGACATCCTTGTGATTTAAGAGACAATAGTGTTATGTAACCTTACAACACTGTGGGATGAGATCATACATTATCCTCAATTTATACATGTAGAAGTCAAAGCAAAGAGATTAGTCCAAAGTTGTGAAGTGGGTAAGTAACCTTTGAATTAACATCTTGGTGATGGTAAGGGAAAAAATAGTTTTTAAGCAGTCTGATTTTTCTTTTTTCCCAGACTAGTTTGCATCTTTTGTTATGTCAGATTTATTGAACACATCCATTGACTGTCCACACACATTTGGCATACCAGCTTTGGATACCAGCCTGTGATGTGTCCAAAGCACTCCTTCAGTCTTGCTCTTCCTATTCCTCCTTCCGTGTTCACTGTACTTTTCTTTGTTGCTTTTAGCAAGTCCCATTGAATCTTCCTTCCCTTCAAACCTCTGTTACGTCCTTTTTTCCTCCTCTTTGCTGACTTATGTACTTTGATTATAGCTCTCGGAGACATGGCCTGCTCCTCCTTATATCAAGTAGTATAGGTAAGGCCAAATGATGTTTTTACCTGCTGGCTTCCAAGACCCTACTTTTTATTTATTTATTTATTTATTTATTTATTTATTTTAATTTTTTTTTTAAATTAAAACCTCCCCATGGTAAAAACTCTCCATTAATTTTGGTTAAAGGAAGATTTTGTTGACTACTTAAAGATACTTATATAGCACCCAAAATGTGCATGTTTGCTTTTCAAAGCCATAAAGCTAGCTTCTGGTAAGGCTTGTAACAAAACCAGCATGATTAAAGTAAATACTATGAGGTTAAGTTAAGGAGCAAGGAAAGCAAGTCCTATACATAGGTGAAATCACTTTTTTTTTTTTTTTTTTTTTTTAACTGTAATTGTCCTGTGTTGGTTTTAGGTTGCTTTTTATACCCTTTTTGCTGCTGCTGTTTGTTTATTTGTTTCTTCTGTGGAAGTAAAGCTGGCCATGCTTTTGAGAATGGGCCTGATGACCTGCAGAGTTCCCTTCTAGCCTGAATTATTCTATACTTTTTTTTTCAATGGCAAGCGAGCCAGAAAAAAAGCTGAAAATACCATAAAACATACGAAATAAATTTTGAAAGAAAAACGGGTGACAGCCTAGAGGAATTTGCTGTTGTTCCATGAGTTCACCATGTGTAGTCAGAGTACCAAGTAAGTGTTCGAAGTACACACTGAATTCAGTGGAACTTAGTGGTTAAAAATGCTTTCCGTGACTCAATCAAGATGGCACTATCGTAGAAGCACTTCCTGGTTAAAAAAATTTGCTTGGAGTTGAAAGAGGTAATATGTTCTGCACTCATGGCTTTATTGGCAGAAACAATTTAATTGTGTCTGTTGCGATATAATTGTTCTGGTGGAATTTTGATACAGATCATAACTTCATAGGATTCACTTAATTGACAGCATGTGAGAGTCTTGTGTTGTTTAAAGCATTTGAAGCAACAATTAGTTTTCTCTGTTTTTCCTTAATATTTCATTTGTTCAAAATCTATTTCTGGCTGTGTTAGTTGATGTCATTTAAAGTAATGACCTGGTGGACCAACATTTTCTACAAAGGTAGATCTGCATTAAAACTTAAGTGCTCTGACTTGTATTTAATTGACATTATATAGAGGAAAGTGTTTGACATGAATAATAGTAATGTGTCCGTTTATTTGCCTTTGCATCCTTCATTTTTTCATGTATTACTACTTTAGTGTCTTCTACCCTATATATGTCCAGGGGACGTTATTCAGGTACAATACATTCTGTTCTGGTTACATCAATGTAATGATTCTGTTCGCTGTTTCTCTTTGTGTGCATGGAAATGGTACTGATAACGGATTTGTTCACTTCGGAAAGAAAAATCTGTCAGGAAGTACTTGGGAAGTGTTTTCTGTGGGAACTGTATGTCAGATATATGCCTTGCTAAAGCATTAGGGAGGCTGGTATGGCCAGGAATCTTACCTGGAAGGGGACGGCCAGTTTTAAAGATAGTGTACAGATGCTTCATGGCAATGATCTCTTCTGACCAGAAGTCTTGTTGCTCTGCACTTGTCAGAAAGGAGAGTATCAAGAAGGAAGATGCTTCCTTTCTGCTGCCTGTGCTTAGGCTAACTCTTCTTTGGAAAGTCTTTTAGCTTTTAAAAAGCAGGATGGTATCCAGGTGGGGATTGTTAATGAAATACAGGATGAAGGGAAAGCTGAGGATGTCTGCAGGCAACGTAGTTTTAGTTATTTCCTTAGTCAAAACAAGACCTAAGACTCTTCAGGACCAGATTAGTGAAAAAGATCTGTTGCAACAGGAGCTTGTCTTTTAGTTATGCTTGTACCAACCATAACATCATTACCAAAATTAGAATATCAAAACAAAATATGCACAAAATATAGAAACAGGCCAGTTGCATCAGCTTCTTCCAGACAAAGAGGTTTCCAAAGCAGCAAAGCCACATACTGGTTTCAAATCTTTAAGAATAAAATCTGACATGTACCAGTTGTGTAGAGAAAAGTACTTATACAAAAAATACGACACAATTCACAGGCCAATAGTGTCTGACAAGGCCATCAGTCACATTAGCGACTCAGCTAGGTGCCACCAAATGCCAAGATTTGCAGTCGCTTTCTAACTGTTTGGCAAAGGGTTGCATGCTTTTATTATTGTTATTGAATACTTATATTGTAGTAGTTCTTTGAGGCTGGCCAGGTCCTAGAAACAAAGAGTCTCATTCACTACAAATTCTGATTAATTCTCTGAGCAGAATCTATATTTGCACTGAATTACAGGAGATTTCTGTAGGAGGATCAGCATATGATCATGTAGTTAGTTATAGACTGTATCTTAATGCATATTTAGTGAGCCCAGCTGAACATTGCATGGTCTTTCTTTATTCTGTCACTTACTACTCTGTGGAATGCTTGGTTTAGTCACCTTAACGATTACTTTGTGTATGCTTTGGTGTGTTACAAGCGTAGTCTTACACATGTGAAAAGCTCCTTTTTTGTAATAATCCATGTGATTTGGGGGCTTTTTCCTTGCATTGTTGCCCTCATGCTTCTATACCGGCTTTCCTTACTCTGCTGGCAAGCCATACTTGGTGAGATGGAAGCTAGTGACTGTGACTTCTGTCATCTTTTCAAACTCATCCTTCAAAAGCTATTTTCAAAGGTATTTTAGTAGTTAGATTGGCAATTTGATGCTTCAAAAAAACAGCCAGAAGAAAGCTCCTCTTGGGTGATGGTGAATCTTTTCACCTGCTGCCACAATCAGCCCGAAACCTTGGATGTCAAAATCTTGTGTGATGAAGGAGGAAGTGTCCCAAGGTTTGACTTTGGAAGAACCACTCCCTTGTAAAGTTGTGTAATTGTTAGAAGATGTGCTTGAGCTTACTGGAATCATTCTTCACTTAAACAAGATGATAGCGGGTATTAAACAAAAAGCTGTGATAACTTGAGAGAGAAAGTAAGTTGTTTTTTTTTTTTTTAAAGGTAGAAACAGGCAAAAAAAATTGCTACCCCTCTCAATTAGAAAAATGATTGAGATCAGTATGACCACAATAACATAATACTAACATAGTTACTATACTGTATTTATGCAATACATGGTATATATTTTATATTGCATACTTTGGGAATTTTTAGGCAGGACTCAATTAACAGAGAGGAATATTTTTTCCAGTGGGCTCTGTAATTTGCTAGATGTTTTGTGATACTGTGTGTTTACATGTTTTCCATTATTACAGAGTAGATTTGGGAGGTGCAACAAAGATTTTTTTTTTTTTTTTTGAATGTTCATGATAATGTCAAACTTCACTTTGAAAAGAAAAGACAGAAATTGACTCT